TATCTAGGGAAAGTGCCAGGGAGCAGGAACACAAAACAAAGGCCTTGAGGCCAATGAGTGCCTGCACAGTAGAGAATTATAAGGAGATCAGCGTAGCTGGAGCAGAGCAAGCAATTTGGAGAGCAGTGGAAGAGGAGATCAGAATGTTTATGGAATACCAAATTTGGATGTGGTCTTTTTAAGGCATTGGAAGGACTTTGGCTTTTAGCCATTCACAGATTTGAGCAAAGAAATTGCATATTGTGTCTTGAGTTCATGGGGCTACTCTGGTGGGCAAGAGCAGAAGCAGGGAGCCCAGTTGCATCAGTTAGGATTCTATGAAAGAAACAGAAGCACTCTAGGCACCTCAGACAGAAAGGGATTCAATACAGGGAATTGAAATACAATTCAATACAATGTTTGGAAGGGCTAGAGTAGAAGTCAGACATCGCCACAGGCTTGGATTTCAAGGTCACACTAACTAAAAGCTGTGAATTGAAGTTCTCTGAAGAAGCCTCAGTTATGTTGAAGGACCTGCAGACTGTTGGACTGTGGCTGACAAGAATATCATGGTTCTGGAGAGATGGAATGTTACAGATGGAGAGCCAGAGTTATCTTGGGCTATCTATAGTTCCTGTTAATAATCATTTACTACCCATCTCTGTATCTGACCTTATATCCTTGTAACTACCAGATAAAACACTTGGTATATATCACTGACCTCTGGCCTTCATCAACCCTAAGGCTAAGAATGTGATTACATCAGAATCCTACAAAAAAGATTTTTTCCACTTTGCTGTAGCCCTCCTACTGAATGAGCCCCAATGTATTCATGAGTTTTTTTCATTCTGACTTTAAAGTTCATGTAACTGAGATAATCAGGGACCAGATCAGGGAACAAAAAGTTAGATAAACTCTCAGGTTTTAATTCATAATCTATTACTTGTTAAAAACCTTCCCCACTCTCCAACCTTTCAGTTTTCTTTTTTTGTGGTACTGGAAATTGAACCCAGGGGTGCTTTACCACTACATTCCCATCCCTTTTTATTTTGAGACAGTCTTGCTAAATTGTTGAGGGTCTCACTAAATTGCTGAGTCTGACCTTGAACTTGGGATTCTTCTCTTCAGCATCCCAAGTTGGTAGGATTACAGAGCTGCACCACCATGCCTGGTCTTACTGGTCTTACCCCACTCTTTCAACAATGTGTGAAATACAGAATGTGCCTTTATACACTCTCTTTCTCTCTCTCTCTCTCTCTCTCTCTCTCTCTCTCTCTCTCTCTTTGATACTACAGATTGAACTCAGGGGTACTCTACCAATGAGCTATATCCCCAGCCCTTTTTATTTTTTATTTTGAGACAGGGTCTCCCCAACGTGCCCAGGCTGGCCTTGAACTTATGATCCTCCTCCTCAGCCTCCCAAGTCCCTGGAATTATAGACATGTGCCACCATGCCCGGTTTGCATTCTTGAATTGAACAAAAGTCATACAAAATATCTCACTGATGTGGAAATAATTGCTAAGGTTGCAATACTGTTTATATGTTTCATAGGTGGCAGACTTAAAGGATGCATCAAAACCTTTCTTACTGGCCAGGTATGGTGGTGAGCACCTGATATCCCAGCAACTCTGGAGCTTGAGGCAGAAGGATTACAAGTTGTAGGTCAACCTCAGCAATTTAGTGAGACCCTGTCTCAAAAAATCCTGTGTTCACTCCCTAGTCGCAAAAAATAAAAACCCTTCTCATCTGGATATTAAATAAACAATGTAAGGAAAACATGAGAACAGAGACACAGAAACTTATGCAGATTAAAAGTGATAAAAGAAAAATTCTGAGATTAATCACAAGGGCCAGAGAATAGAAAAGGGAAGAAATAAGACAAAGTAGGTAATCAGTTAACAGCTGCTGGCAAAGAACCAAAAAGACTGTTTATGTTGAAAGCTTCAATCCCTTCATGGCTGACCACCAGGGCCACCAAACCCTGTTGATTTACAAACCCTCCAGATGTTTAACCCCAACTACTCCAGAAGCAGGTGCTTCTACTTATGAACAATCCTCCTGTCCCATAGCCTTATCCTGCATTCCAGAGCCAATGAAGGTCAATGTAAACTACTTAGACTTTCCTTCCTCAGAGTTTATACAAAGATACTCTAAGCTCTAGGTCCAGTGGACATGTTTCCAATTGCTGCCCGGGCCTATTGCCAATGGTTTTAGGAACTTTTCCCAGAACTGGTCTTTTTTTTTTTTTTCTGTTTAGCATTTGTAAAGCCTCAATAAATCCCTATATTTCAGAAAGTCTGTCAATTCTCAAGAGTTTCGATTTGACAAAAGCTAGAAGACTTTGCTTAAATTGCAACAGCTTGATAAGATCGAGTAGCCCATGTTAAAGTTGAAGAGTTGAAGTAATATGTCATGGTTGCCTTGATTTGTGTTTCAATCGCAATTGGCATTAAAAAAAAAAAGGTTGATTTTTCTCTTCGGTAAATTGTCTGTTCATATATTATTCTAATTTTTCTATTTTGCAGACATTCTTTACATGTTATAAATCTCACAAAGATCCTTTCCCAGCCTCCTTCTTGCTTTTTGATTCTGGCGTCTTTTGTTATTCAGAAGTTTATGTGTTTGATTTTGACTTATTTTCCTCACAGTGTAAGAGAAGTTTTGACCTACAGAAAGCATTCGCCTGGGACTTATCTAAAACCCAACATTTTTTTCATCACACCTGTTTTTTCCTGCTAAAGTTGATGAAGAATCATGAACTTTTAATGACCCCTGTAGGCCAAATGATAATTAGGCACTCCTTCCTGAATTAAAAACAATAGGATTTCTTTTAACCAATGAAGTGCAGACCCATGAGCTCTATCTTATCTGGAAGCCCAGCTTTTGCTGCTTACTTAGCATAACCCCTCCTAGCCCTTCAACACCCCTGACCTGACCTGCCATAGTTTAGGTTCTATTTCCTTGCTTCTTATGTCTATTTTGTTTATTTTGACAATTAGTTACATAACTCCTCAGAGCCTCGATGGTATAAATGGGAAAGAGTCGAGCTTACCTCATGAGGTTATTGTGAAGATTAAATGAATAAATATGTAAAATGCTTTGAATAAGTGCCCGATAACTCAGTAAGTACCCAAAAAATTTTGGCTATTCATCTTGTTATTACTATGTCAAATTTATTTGTGTTTCTCTTTATTTTGTTTTTTGGTCTTAAGATATACTTCCCCAAACAACGGGTTTTATTACAAATTTTCCTCCTCTCTTCTCTTTCCGGGTGCCTGGAAAGCCCTTCTTCAAGTTGAAGATGGCTGTGTGACTTGCTTTGATCAATGAGATATTATAAAAGTGATGACGTCATTCTTGGCAGAAGTAATAAGATCCCAGGATCTTAGGCATGGAGGGGAAATAAATCTTTTTTTCCTTTTGCTCTCATGTTAAAACAAATATTCTTCTATATATTTAAAAAAATGTTTTGTAGTTGTAGATGGACAGCATGCCTTTATTTTATTTATTTTTGTACACGGTGCTAAGGATGGAACCCAGTACCTCACACATGCTAGGCAAGTGGTCTGCCACTGAGCCCCAGCCCCAGCCCAATATTCTTTTATATTTTTATAAGAGTTTCGGAGGTTTATTCTAACATTTAGATCTTTACATTCCTTAGGATTACTTTCACGGATGGTATGTTGAAAAAATAATAACAGATTTAGTTTAAAAAACAAATTAGCTTTTACTGAAATCAGGCAACATCTCATTCTACAAAAGAGAATGGATATTCTGAGCTGGGCACAATCCTTATGCCTGTAATCCCAAAGACTAGGAAGGTTGAAGCAGGAGGATCACAAGTTCAAGGCCTTAGCCTCAACTTAGTGAGACTCTGTCTTATAAAAAAGTACAAAAAAAAAAAAAAAAAAAGCGAGGAGTGGGCTGAGGATGTGGCTCAGTGGTAGAGATCCCTTGAGTTCAAGCTCCGAGTACCAAAAAAATAAAAGATATCCTAATCAGCTGAACAGCAGAGGGGGTTGGTTTTACAGGCAGGAAAGAGCTAAAGAAAGCATAAATAGGGAACAAAAAGTATATTGGTTATTTGAAGGTACTTTCTTTATAGAATTAAAAAAGTGGACAGTTCCTCATCATGCTAGGTCAGGTAACTTGGGCGCCTTCTGACTGGTTACTGTGAATCTCCTAGATGTCAGAAAACTGGTGCCTTTCAAAGTTCATTTTGATTATAAGGCATCCAGCAAAAGTGACTCCATTCTGGCTTGATCTGGTCTATTGGGCCTCATGAAGCAGCTAAGTCCAAAACAATGGCTTTCTATGCAATGTAGGGGTCCAATCCAATTTCTTATTTCTTTTCTTTCATTTTTTTTTATGTAGACAATTAGCTGTCCTAACTCCATTCACACCCTCATGTTTCCTCCCGTGATTTGTAAGGCCATCCCTGCCATATACCTTGTTCCTGTGTTTGCCTGAGTATTTTCTTACCTCTTTATTCTCTCCAATGATTTTGATTTTATTGCACCATTATACTATTTGGAATTACTTACCATGTCTTCATAGTTTATCTCAGTAGCTGGTAGGCAATGGCAGTGCAGTCTTTCAGGCATGGAGAGTGGGGAATGAGGAGTGAGAGAAGCTCTGTGCATCTTAGCTAGACCCACTCTTGGCTAGGACATTGCCTAGATTTTGCGCTCCATCCACACCTCACAACAGGCTTTTCCATTTTCTCAAAGATGATCAGAGTAGGCAAGAGGCAAGGAATAGATTTGAGAACGATTATTAAAGTTAATTGACAGGGCTTGGTAACTGCATGCATTTTTGGCGGAGTAGTGTAGAGAGAGGAATTTATCTAGGACAACCCTCATATTTATGGCTCAGTCAATCAGTCCCACAAACATATCTATAAAAATATGCAATATGAATTTTCTCAGCTGTAAAAATTCTGGCATCAGATCTAATGCCTTAAGAGAGTTTCTTGAGCATAATACAATCTATAGAGAAACCTAGTCACAGAAAAGCAAGGTGTGATTATGAATGGTTTATTTCTTTAGATTATAACATTAATCACAAATTGCATTTTAAAGAGATTGTCACTGCTGACGGTGCATGCAAATATTGATTTGTAACCATAGCAAAGTGTCAAGACACCAGGAACTTATCTCAGGCAGTAAATTTGAAGACCGTATGCTCACTTTTATAGTGGGATTTAGTAATTTCCTCATATATCTGTGAGGGACACAAGCACTAAAGCGGACTACAAAAAAAGATCCTACCCTTCCCAATACTGCTGACATTGGAGAACCCAGTCAAGTCTCTGATCCTTGTCCTTCCTCCAACATCCTGCTCACAAATCTGATATGTAGTCAAGGAAGAGAAACTTCAGGCCAAGGGCTATGGCTCAGCAAGCAGCAGTAGCAGCAGCAGCAGGAACACAGGGCCTATGGGAGGGAGAGAAGGAAAGGTTTCAGTGTGGAGTTTCTCAAGACATAGCCTCCTAACTTTCAGAGCTTCACCTACATGTCAAAACCCTAGAAGGTGGGCTCTAGGCACTCACTTAACCTGACTAGCCTCTCCTCTTATTTTCCCAGGATTCCTGAAGTAGTCAGAAATACCAGGGAGAAAGTGATTAGGGGGAGAGAGGAGAAATACCAGGGAGAAAGTGATTAGGGGGAGGGAGGAGGGGAGGAAATGGAGAGGTACCAGGGAAGGAAAGTGAACAAATTATGTAACTCACATGTACAAATGTGGTGTAATGAATCTCATTATTATGTAAATTATAATGTACCAATAAAAATGGTAAAAAGAAAAAAAAAATAAATACCAAGGAGAGAGAAACTGCAAGGACATCTTTTTGGTTTTTGAAGGGATTTCCAGAATGTAAGAGCAAATTTGGTTTAAATTTCTTGGATGCTTAGTCCCTCTGCAGCCCAGATCCACTTCTGGTTGGACCCCTGGCCTCTCAATAAAAAGTAACTTACTGCATCAATATATGTTGGAACCCTGATTCAAGTCAAGCCCATGGCAGATCTTGAATGCAGGTAAATAGGAGGGACAAAGTCTCCAGGCTATAAGCAAGAGATTATCATATAAATGGTAAGTCATACTCCATTATGAGGCAAAATGGCTGAGATGTGGACAAGATTCTCCACGAGAAAAAAAAGGAGGTATTTGTTGAGCAAAACTATGTGCCAAGCAATAAATCTTAAAAATCTTATCATTCTCACAGTGATACTACTCAAGTGTTTGTTATTTGTATCCCATCATTAAATGAGGAAATTCAGAGACAGATTACTTAGGCAACTTGCTTGAAGTCATAAAACTAGTGCTGCTGAGCCAGATTATCATTGAGGTGGTCTGAGTCCAAACCTATGCCATAGAGAATGGTGTAGGATTTAATTTTCCTTGAAAGTATCAAGGAAGGCTTATTATTGGAAGTGATATTGGAACTAGGTCTTGGAAGACAATCACCATGTTGAAATTGATGGTGTCTTAGCTTGGATCAAATATGATATGTAGTCAAAGAAGAGAGACTGCAGGCCACAAGAAATGATTGGTGTAAATGCATAGAGATCTAAAAGCCAGGACCACTTGGGAAAAGATGGGGAAAGTGCTCATGGTGGCTCTTCTTATGCATCTCGAGGCTGGGAGTGGTGACAGCTTTCTTGGTGTTCTTTGTAACCAGTTTCAACCATTATTGGTATGTCTTCTTTGAGGTTCCTATCTCCTGATTTTACCAACTCTACCTTCATCATTCCAGGCACTGTCCCTCTACATGTGGTCTACCATGTGGACCACTTGTATTGATTTAACTTGACATGACTGCAGCCATCTTGAGTTGTAACTGCCATGATTGCTCCAAGGTAAGCTTAGTTTTTTTACATAGTTTCTCAGCAAACTATATGTAGACAGAGTCATTAGAGCGGTTTGTGGAAATTTACAACTGGCTCCTGGCTCCAGGGAAGTTCCTAACACTTTGCTATTAACTTAAGATAAACCAAGTACATTACATCCAGGATGAAGTCACTTTGGGAGGGCATTAGTGGAGGACTGGGAATTTAACCTACGGGTGCTCTGCTACTGAGCTCCATCCCAGCCCTTTTTATTTTTTATCTTGAGAAAGTATCTTGCTAAATTACCCAGGCTGGTCTCCAAATTGCAATCCCCTTGCCTCGGCCTCCTGAGTAACTGAGATTACGGGAGTGTGACACCACACCTGGCAGGATAGTCACTTTTGTCCTCATCCATATATATCCTCCTTTTTCTGACTGAAACTGCTCAGATCCAATCTGGTCTTGCTGTTGTCCAGCACCAACGCTTTCATCAATGAGTGCCCCAATCTATCTGCCTCTCTTTCTTTAGTCCTGTGAGTGTCCTAGGCTCATTCCCTATACACTAGGGCTGAGTTGTTCTCAGTGCAAAATCTTCAGTTCTTCAACTCCTCAATCCAGTGCTATCCATCTTGCTCTTCAATCTAGCCAATTACTTTTGTGGAAATGTCCTGGAACCTGATTAACAGTTAACACTTCACACTTGAAATCTCAAGGTCCCCCATCCTCTTTTCTGACTGCACCCCTCAGCTTGTCCACCTCTCACTGTCTTCCCTCCCAGGAAGAGATAGCTTATAGACAGACCTAGAACCCAGGCGCCTCCAGCACCACAGCCACTCACTCAGTTCAGGCACCTTCATCTCTTGCCTGGATTCTGCAGCAGCCACGCCCTTCTGTCTGGAACCAGCAAGCCTCCCAATTCCTCTGATGCTTTGATATGGCTGGCCCCTGACACACCAGTACATTCCTTGGTTCATTCTACCTGGTGTCCCACAAGACTTTCTGACCTTTCTGCACAGCAGGGGAAACTGGAGTTTGGCTGGACTAGAAATGGCCTCATGTCTATGAGCCTGAGCTCTGTTCTCCACTCCAAAACAGTAGTCCTGTCCTTTTAGGAACCTGAGACTCTTCAGCAATGGACTGGATGCCCATTGTTCTCTGCTGTGGGGGTTTCTGCAGGGGAGCACCCTCTTCTGTTTCATGATGACCCCACAAACCCCACCTCCAATGCAGACCCAGACTCACCTGAACTGTTGAAATTGATGTCTGATTTGCTGTGAATTGGAGTAGAATTAAAGCAATTGAAGTTACTCTTTCGTTTTTGGGGAGCTTCGAGGGAAATTTCATTGTGATTTTTACCAGTTTGTTTTACTGTGACCTTTTGATATACTTCATACCCTGGTATTAACACTTCCTCTTCTTGAGGGTAGAGAGAGAATGCTTTGATATTAACACCCAAACAGGTTCTGATGATAAACAATGTCCCATCAGCACCAAGAAATCTTGGAGAAACAGCTACATTTCTATTCAAAGATGATGAAGTGAATTGCCCAAATCGTACACTACCGGCCCCACTGTAATAAAACTTGGTATGAGAGCCTCTAAAAACTTGGTTACACTGGGATGTCCTCAGAAGCTGAAGAGCTCTTGTCAGATAATAATGGAAGGCCTTGTACTGAAAGTCACTTGAATTTAGTCTGAATTCTCTTACAGCTCGGTTAAAATCTTTTGCAATTTTCCCAGTGTAGGCCACTATAGCAGTTCCATGGAAATCATTGAAATTTTCTGAATAGTTTATGTTGGACTTTATTTGCTTCCATTTTTTCTTAGCATTTTCCCATTCATTCTTAAATTTTTCATTCATGCTTAGCTCTTCTTTTAACAGCTGGGGTGCCTTTTCCTCCATTGCTTCGATACAGCCCTCATACTGATCATCAAATGCGTTGTTGGCCATGTCGAGGACTAATTGGCTGGTCACCTGTAGGGAAGGAGAGTCCTTTGACTAGTTTGCTGAGGAAGGAGCATGTTGGGATGCTATCAGAACCCACAAAATAGGCTTCTTACTCAGCCTGAGATTTCACATATTCCCATCACAGGGCTCATATATGGAGCATACATGAACACATTCTTATTACACTATGAGTGTTATAAAAGGAAAAGCTGAGCATTGTGACTGTTTTGTTTACTTTCCGCCCACATCCCACGTAGTGGGTGGGAATGGGGTTCCCCTCAGTGGAACAGGCTGGCTGAGAAATAAAAGCTAGGAAAAATAGAATGGTGGAAAAAAACACAGAAAATAGTTTCAAAAGCAGGGGCAGAACAGGCAAATGGACTAGACCAGACGGATCCAGCTTCTAACACAAAGGAGCCCTGCTTTATTTATATTGGAAGACATCAAAGAAATTCTAGAGAATGTTCTTCACCAAAATAGGATCAAGGTGGGGGCAGGTGGGCTGTTCCTAACAGGTTACTCCCATCTCTGGTGCTACTGTGAGGGATCTTTCTAGCAGAGCAGAGGGGAAGGTCATATGCATTGGATGGTCTCTCACCTTTCAAAGAGAGAGCCACAGGAAGTTCCCAATGTTAGGCCTATCCTTCCGTGGCTTCCACAGCGAGAGAAGGTCCTCCTGTATTTCACAGATGGCTTCCCACATTTACTGATACTATTTTTAAGTTACTTTTCAGATTCATACTCTCTCACTGACTCTAGCCATAAACTCAACTCTGGGAACTATCTGGTCTCAAAGATATGACGTAAAAGCAAGGTCAACAGGATGTGGGTGGAGAAGGGGTAGTACATATTACCTGCTGTGTTAGCCAACAAGTTAGTATGAAGATATAAACTGCCATGTCTAGAAGCAATGTTATCTTCAAGTTCACAATTTAAAAACTGCAAACAAACATAAAGCCATGTAAGTTAGATGTAAATAGTTTTATTGTGTTTTGATGCCCAGTTCTGTTGATAAATCCCTATTCATTCTGTTAATGAATCCAGAAGTCCAGGCTCCTGTTCACACTGCTTCTTGATCAGCTAATCAGGATCCCTTGTAAACAGCTCTACCAGGATCTTGCACCAGGGAGGAGGTGACTCCAACATCCCGCCCGCAGTAGGGAGCTAGTTTTGAAACAATTGATCCTGATAACAGGTGAAGCTATAAGTCATGTAAAATTCCAATGAGAGAAACAGATCACATGGGAGCAGATATTTCTTAGGACCTAACATTTTATTCTCCCTTAGAGAAATATTCTGAGTCTTTTCACAGATGCTTAAAAAAATTCTTCTCCAAGTTTTGTTAACCTGGCACTCTCCAACTTCAAGTTAATATTTCCAATATTTCTCTTTCTTTCTCTCTCTCTTTCTCTCTTCTTTCTTTCTTTCTTTCTTTCTTTCTTTCTTTCTTTCTAAGGTCTCACAATACTGTCCCAGCTGGCCTTGAATTCTTGGGCTGAAGCAGAGCCTCCTTCCTCACTCAGCCTGCCAAGTAGCTGGGACTACAGATGAGATAGATTTTTCAGTTGTTCATTTTGTTTTGTTTGTTCTTGCAGTTCTGGGGATCTGACCCAGGCCTTTGCACATGCTAGGCAAACACTGCACTACTGGGCTACAGCCCCAGCCCTTAAATCAAGACTTTTGAACGTGTCCTGATCTTGTCAGCTTTACATCATCAGTAAGTAGTACTATGATTTGGATATGATTTGTCCTTCAAAGGGTCATGTGCTAGAGGCTTAGCACTCAGAGTGGTAGTGTGGAGGTGGTGGGACCTTGAAGAGGTGACCTAGTGGGAGGTAAATAGGTCATTGAGAACATCACCCTTGAGGAGATTAATGCAGTTGTTTCAGGACCCCACTTAGTTCCTGCTGATACCATGATGTTCAGACTTTCCAGCCATAGAATGTGAACTGAATTAACATCTTTTCTTTATCAAGTATCCAGCCTTAGTTATTTTGATAGAGCAACAGAAATAAAACAGATATAGCAACAGACCAATACAATCAATTTACCTTATAAATTACTATAATTAATGAAAATTCATTACTTTTGACTTCTTTTTGAGGGATGGAGATATACACACTCAGTAAGGCAAGTCAAAGAATGAGGTATGATGATAACACTGCTTCATTCTTTTCTGCTTGCGGTTCTTGGCAAATTATGAAAATTGTCCTCTACACTTGAGAAACTGATGTGACTCCATTTTTGAGAAACAAGCTTCTACCTCAAGGCCTGTCCTAAGGAAGGGGGTGTGACCCTTGTCCTTGGAAAGACCCACAGAGCACTCCTAAGCACATACCCACCCTGCTGAGTTGTTTGTCTACAAATAACTGGAGAGATCTGCAGAGCCAGGTGTCCCTGACTCAGTTAGGCTAGGTGAGGACCCATAGCAACCCCCTAGCAACCATCAATCAGCATGAGACAGGGAAAATACCTGGGATGCCAGATGACCCCCCAGTAGTTTATGGTAGTTGATAACATGTTGGGAAACCATGTAGTTAAGCACATACACCCCTATTGGCTTAAATCAATCAATTCAAAGGAATCCCCCTCTTGTACTAACCAATCACCCCTACCCAACTTGTTCCCGCCATTGAATGTGCTAATGAATGTTAAGAGTTGTTGTTTGACTTTCCCTCGATGTGAAATGATTTGCTGGTGTGATGTTGTGACGCATAGAATATATCCCCCCAAAACCTATAAAATCTCACTGAGCAAAGAACCAGGACTCACTCCCTGGAAACGGTTGTGAGTCCAGCCTCCAGCTTGCAATAAAGACTCTTGTGTGATTGCATCGAATTCGGCTCTTGGAGGTTTATTGGCGTCCCACGAGAGTCTGGCATTACACACTCTAAGCCCATTGTGTTAATTTCCAAGGAATTTTGGCTGGTCTTGACATTAGACAATGCTCTATCTAGACCTCAAGAATGAGAGTGAGAGGGGCTGGAGTTGTTGCTCAAGGGTAGAGCGCTTGCCTAGCATGCATAAGGCTCTGGGTTCAATATTTAGCATCACATAAAAATAAATAAATAAATAAAGGTATTGCGTCCATCTACAACTTTAAAAAATATTTTTAAAAAAGAATGGCAGTGAGGGGCTATAAAACATGGTTAGCTGCTCTTGGTAACACCCTTTGCTGTGGTTCCTGGCTCTTCTTCCTTACCATGGTTCCCAATTCCCTGAGCCTTTAGGAAACACCCTTGAAATAACAGACTTCCAGTAACCCAATGGAGACTGTCCCACCCTGTATTCATTCTGGATTTAAAAAAAAAATAGAATTAACAATTAGCATAAACTAACTATAACCAACTACTTAAAGTAAGAGTTGACCTCAGGGTCACCTTTGTTTGCATACAATAACTACCCTCATGGATACTGAAAAACTTCCTTCAACATGATATCAGGATGGAATGAACAAATATTTAGAACAAATATTTCGTAGAAAAGAATTATATACTAATAAGACCAATGTTTACTTTGTTTATGAGAGAAAAACATTTGAGTAATGGCACCTTTCCAATTTCTTCCACTGTAGAAATTCAGAGATGACAAAGAATACTGAAGTTTATGACTAATTCTAAAAATTCTTTTAATATTTGAGGCAGTCTTTATTTTACAGAATCCCCCCAAAAGCAATTGGGGAGCTGTAACTGACAGGAACATATTGTGATGAATTAAAATAGTGTACCAGAATCTTAGCATATCCTGAATGATCTACTAAGAATGGTATGCTCAGAACAAATACTTTTTTTTTTTTGCCAAATTTAATCTTGTCATAGAGTAAGCCCCAGTTCTGGAGCAATCAAAATTATGGGAGTCAAATTTGAACAAACCACACTGTTTTCTTTGATTAAATAATTAGCATATTTTATGGGTGTTATTCTTCTAAAAATTATATTTTTAACATGGAAATTTTTGTATTAAATGCTGTTAAACCAAAAAAAAAAAAAAGAACTAAAATGAGATTGGAACTAGAAAGTTAGCATTTCCCCTTAATTATAAAAGAAGTAATTTTATATTTGTCTCTGTGGTGATAAGTACATTTTTATAGAATATAAAATTTGAGCTTAACATATTTTGATTTTATGTGACAATTTAGATTTCTTCACTAGTATTATGCAGTTAAAGAATTATGCAAAAGCCATATATACATGGTGCTGTGATTTGGATCTTAATCATTCACCAAAGTCTCAAGGGTTAATTAAGGGCTTGGTCCTCAGTGGATGGCATTATCTGGAGCTGGTGGAACCTTTAAGAGTTGGGCCCTAGTGGAAGGAAGCAAGGTCACTGAGGCTATGCCCTTGATGGATATTGGAACTTTGGTTTCTTCTCCTCTGTTTTTGCTTCCTGGCTGCCATGAGGTGAACAGCTTTATTCTACATGTGCTCCCCACTATACTGTTCTGCCTCGCCACAGGCCAGAAGCAATAGAGCCAGCTGGCTGATTATGGGATGAAACTATGAGCCCAAATAAAACTTCCCTCCCTTTAAATAGATTTTCTCAGGTATTTTGTCACAGCAATGGAAAACTGATTAACACACATGGATGTTCAATTGTAATCTATTACAAATTGAAATGTATTATAATTTTAAAAACTGGGAGTGTAGCTCAGTGGTAGAGTGTGTGTTTAGCATGTATAAAGCTCTGAGTTTAATCCTTAGCACCAAATAAACAAACAAACAACAAAAAACACTTGTTTTTTATGTCTGAATATTATGAATCTATGAAAAAAACCTTCCTTTAAATATTTAAATACTATCCAGGTGCTGTGGGGCACATCTGTAATCCCAGCTACTTGAGAGACTGAGGCAGGAGGATCACAAGTGCCCACTTGGGCAACTTAGCAAAACCCTGTCATAAATAAATAAATTAATTAATTAAAACAAAAACCACCTAAATATAACTGGGATTTATCTTAGTGGTAGTGCCCTTGGGTTCAATCCCCGTATTTCTCTCTCTCTCTCTCTCTCTCTCTCTCTCTCTCTCTCTCTCTCACACACACACACACACAAATCCAATGTAAATTGATATTATCTGCACATATTCCCTAATAACAATTTAATTGTTTCATCACCTTTTCTTATACTTTGATTTTGCTTTTCTAGCATTGTTAGTTGAATCAGGATTTTTAAATTGTATAGCATTAAAATAATAAATACTAACATTTATCCAACATCTCTCTATGTGGAGTTAATTATTTAATTTTCTACATTATATTTCCATCACTTTTTTGATCTTAAGGCAAAGTTATAAAAGCTTACCTATCTTCTTTAAGGAATTTCAGGACCCTAGGTATCCTCCTTAAATTCCTCCGAAATTCCTTCTGGAGGAGGATTTGGAGTGAATTATGAGTAGAAGAAACATCATTAATGAGAAAAATACTTTGCTTTGACATACCTTAAAATAATTACGCAGCCCCTCCTTCCTAGTCACAGAGCTTCTGGAAATTAAATTGCCTAAGAACTTCTCTGGGACACTTATTAGCAATAGAGATTTCTGGACCCCAGTCTCAAAATTGTATATTCCATATTTTTACATGAGTTCCCTAGTTGATTCTGATGGGGATACAGCTGGCTTTTTGAGAACTGATAAGCATGAATTTCAAGCTTCTCTTCCCCATGCCTCATCTCCCCACCCCACCATTTGGAATATAAGTTTAATTTTGTCATACCAGGAGCATGGTTCACTTATCCTTAACTCAGTTTTAGTTTTACACTTACCTCTTCTGCAGTTCCTCAATGTAGTTAGTCCGGATATCTGTGTTATACAAGGCCTTGTGACCTCTTCCCTATTAGACAGCTATGTACAACATATGACTGGCTCTGCTGACCCTCATACCCCATATGGACTGTGCAGATATGTTGCGGTATCACATCTTGGTCATAGCCTCTTGACACTTACATTTTTTTGCTTTAAACCTACCAATTAAAACTCTTCTCAGAAAACCTGTGTGGATAACTCCCTGGATCCCAATGTTGACATTGTCCCATAGTCTCTCCCTGCCATGCACACACACTCTGTCTGCACTCCTTGACCTTGACCTCCATGAGTGTGGCTTTCAGATGTCTTGTGTACCACCCAGGGCCCATCAGTAGTAAAATCTTTCTTTCCATCTTGTGTCTCTCCTAATCACTGAAGTAGTGCTCTCCATCTTAAAGATCCTAAATTAAAACAAAGAACTTGAGGCCTACGGACTCTTCTTTCATTAAACATCCAAGCTCCTGTGCACTAAACTCAGGTGATTGACACTGGGAAATGAAGTCTCTGGCTCTCGACTCTCAGTCTCCATTTAAAGTTCAGCTGGGATACTAGAAGTTAATGTGGGCATGAATTTGGGAGGGAAATGGGGAAATTAAACATATTCTTGTTCTGGCTTGAAGAATCTAAGCTTGACTAGCCATAGGAAGGGAAAGGCTCTTTTGTATAAGGGACCAAGTGGAACACAGATACCAGCAGTACTTCCTCAAGGATCTGGGAGCAAAGTATATGATCTTGGATAAGTTTTTAAGTGTTTGGAGGGTAGATATGCTACATGTCTGTCCTTCAAGATGTTTTTCTTTTTCCAGAAATGAGCCCAACTCCCTACCTGGGATATTTTTTTTTGCCCAGAATTGATTTTGTAGCATTAAATTTTGACACATAACCCTCTACTACCACAGTCACCCCAGTCCTCGGGTTTTCTCCCAGCCCAGTTCTATTTCTAGTCTCTCCTCAGGGGACATTCCTAGATCCCTGAACTCTAGAGACTCTTTCCTCCTCAGAGCACAGGGTCTTGCTGTGTGCCCTAGCTGGCTACAAATTCTTGAGCTCAAGTGATCTTCCTATCTCAGCATCCAGAGTAGCTAGGATTACAGAATTGTCAGGTACCTGATCTCCTGCTGATCCTGGGTGATTCAATCCTCTTGGTCTTCTAATAGCAGTACCTGAAAAGACAGTGCTGTGACCCTTTTATTCTTGAGAAAGTTGTGCTTTCAGTTTCTGATTGAATTGGAAAGGGAAGACAAATAACTTATGAACTAATAATTTGTGTTTTCCTATTGAAACTTTTACTTTCTCTATACCTAGAAGGTAAGACCATTATGTCCCCTCCACATAGGATTGGGATGTGTGGATGTGTGTATTTTGCAAGGAGATCCTGCAAAAAAGCAGAATTTGCTGGTTGATCTTTGCACCAGACATATGGTTTTACAGATTGTGTTAAACCACGACACAAAGAAAAGATCACCGACTCCAACGGAAATCAAATTAAAGCAAGCTTGTAATTCTGACCATACGGGGCTGTCTCTCCCCAAACTTGTGGGAACAGAAGACAGCACCCCAGCTCTCTAGGAGTGCAGCTTTATAGCACAGAAAGTTGCAAAAAGGGGAGGTATCTTGAGAGCTTACAGATAACAGAATTTTGACAAGCATAACACAAAGGCAGATAGTAGGTTTAATGGTTCAGCACTTAGGGAGTCAATTTAGATCCCAACATCAGAATTTATGAGGCACCATTAGAGCTTTAGAGAGGGTCGTTATCTGGCCAGGGAAAGCCAGAATTTATGAGGTGCCACTAAAGTTTCAGAGAGGGTTGCTATCTGGTCAGGGAAAGCCAAGCATGGGTGAGTTGAAGGCAAGGGCAGGCATTCCAAGCAAGTTTAGAAATCTCAGTAATTTATAGTAAAGCAGAAATTAACTTTTTATGCCTTTGTGGCAAGACGGCTTCTAATCTTAAGAGGGAATTAGGCTGGGTTTATCAATTGCTTGAGCCATTTGAGAGGATTAGTGAAGGACAGAGAGGTGAGTGCTCTTAAGATCACGTTCACATCCTTAGTCATTGCTTACTATGAGTCCAACACATGAATATAGTTTGCTCAGAAACTGGCTAAAGCATATAACCACATCGTTGATGTTGTACACAATTTCCTTGGGAAACTACCAGTTTCTCCTGGTCTTATATCCTTGTAGTGAACCAATTGGTTTCCTGGATAAATGGACCCAGCCATCTGGTGACTTTTTAGATTAAAAAACAAAACAAAACACCACAACAGACCATACTGCCAGAAATCTAAAATTCCCTATTCCATCATAGGTAGAAAAAAGGAGGGTCTACAAAAACTAGCTGTAAACTTTTGGGTCATTGGGTTTTGTAATGAACTGTCACAGAAATAGAACTTAGAAGAAGAAAATCTATTCAGCTAGAGTATATTTGGAGGCAAATCATTTTCTCAGATCTTACAAGTGAGAAACCTAACTCTTTTTGTTTTGAGACAGAGTCTTGCTGTGTAGCCCAGGCTAGCTATAAATTCTTGGGCTCAAGTGATCCTCCCACCTTAGCCTCTAGAGTAGCTAGGTCTACAGACATGTGCCATTATGCTCGAATCTACATAACAATCTTGATGCTGTACAACCTTCAATGTCTGGTGCTGACCTTTTCTTTATGAATGGTGCCAAAATGGTGCAACAATATTCTATAGTCCCATAGAGATATTTTGGACAAAAGCATATGATTGTATGACCCCAGCAATTGGTATTGAATTAAAGGCACAAAATCCTATGGGCAATGTAAAGCAGGGTGGTCAGTGAGGAGCAGGGGGAATTCAAATCTGAACATTAGTAGGGAAAGACTTTATTAAGGAAGACTATTGCACTAGGGAGATGCTTAAAGCCTAAGCTGGAAACCTCTCAGAGAAGGAGTAGGTGAGCCAAACTTTTTCTCAGAAGCCATGAGAAAGAGGAAAGTGACTGTGAAAAGAGGAAGGAAGTGCAAAAAAAAATTCTGGTGGAGGAAGTTTAAAACTTAACAACTGCATTCAACATTAAAAAAAAACTGATAGTGGTAGGCAACAACACTGTTTGTGGCTAGGCATGTGAGTTGGAAGCAGAGGCTTGGAGGGAGCACATTATAGTATGGGAAGTTCACATCAAGTTCAGTTCATGCTTAGTCTGTTCTAGTAAGCACAAAGTTTGGTCCGCCTTGTCCATGCATCCTCTTGTTCAAGACAGGCTCAGAGGGACTGTTCTTTACATCTTAGGGTTAAGGAAAATAGATTCAAAGTAATTCTCTCGGCGATGTTGCTCCCAGAGGACCAATTGGACCATCTTTGGGCATACTTGCAAAGAGCCTTCAGACTAGGCATTTAAAAAGTGAGATGTCTAAAATGATAAAGAGAAATATGAATATAAAGTGTCATAGTCATATTAAAGTAAAATCAAGCAGTTGAACCTGGAGGGCATCTAGTCTAGTGCATTCTAAGTGGTGGGTGGATGAAAATCCTTCAGGGACACTCAACCACTAAGCCAAATCCCGACCTATTTTGTATTTTATTTAGAGACAGGGTCTCACTGAGATGCTTAGCACCTCGTTTTTGCTGAGGCTAGCATTGAACTCATGATTCTTTTGCCTCAGTCTCGCAAGCTGCTGGGATTACAGGCATGCGCCACCTTGCTCAGCTGAAAGTCTTTTGATTATGCAGCACCACTTGTCTCTTGAAGCTAAAATATGAATGCTTTCATGATATTGTCTATACCCTTGCCCTTGATTACCTTTCTTCTTTCTTTTCTTTTTTTGTACTGGAAATTGAACACAGAGTACTTTACCACTGAGCTACATCATCCCCACCCTTTCTACTTTTTATTTTAAAACAGGGTCTTATTAAGTTGCCCAGGCTGGCCTGAAACTTACAATCCTTCTGTCTCAGCCTCCTGAGTTGCTGGCATTACAGCATGTGCCACTGTACCTGACTTGATTAGTTTTCAAATAAGCACATGAGTAACCCAAGCATTTTTCCAGACTTCCTAAATGACCCAAAGCAGCTTGGTCAGGTGGAAATCTGGTCCATGCATGGTCTGCTGCAGTTGATGAGGCCTTAGAAGTATATATCAAAGGCTCTATCTTGTAATGCTTCTTTAGATCTTGGGAAAAAAGATCATTGACGGGAGATCTAGAGTCCTTAGGATCTGAGCTATGAGGTTTTAGGCTTTTTTGCTTTTTGTTCTTGTTGTTGTTTTTGGGTACTGAGTGAACTCAGGGGTGGTTGACCACTGAGTTATATTCCCAGCTCTTTTTATTTTGAGAAGGTCTCACCAAGTTGTTGAGGCTGGCCTTGAACCTGAAATCCTTTTGCTTCAGCTTCCTGAGACACTGGAATTATAGTTATGCACCACTGTACCTGGTTATATTTTAGTTCTCAATGATGCTAAGTTACGAAGGAGGGAGAAAAACTGAAAAGTTAGTTCAGAGAGTAATAGACACAAATTGAAGGAAACTGAAAGAATTGAAAATTTGGTTAAGTGTTAACAATTTGGGCATGGTATAGGATCCAGTCCAATTTATAGGTAGATAACAAAATTTTTTTCCCATAGTAGAAGTCAATTATGTTTTTAACAGATAAGACAGAGATTGTATATGCATTAGTCATCTGCAATTTTCAAATGGGAAAAATATTGTAAACACAATTAATGGAAGCAGAATCTGATAATCCAGAAGGACGTATCAACATTTTCTACTGAATTTTATTCTTAAAGTTATCCCTTCTGATTAAAGATGATCTCAAAGGACATTATTCTTGATCACAAAATAAGACTGGTCTCACTAGATTTGGCCTGATTATTTACAAGTTGTAGCCAGAAGGGTAATTTACCATCTAGGTTTTTAAAATAACTGTGTTTTGTTTTGTTTTATGTGTATGGTACTGGGCATTGAGCCCAGGGGTGCTCTACTATCGAGCTAGGTTCCCAGCCTATATTGTTTTTCATTTGAGACAGGGTCTTGCTAAGTTGACCAGGCTGACCTGGAACTTTGGTTCTCCTGCCTCAGCCCCTGGAGTCACTAGGGTTACAGGCATGTGCACCCAGCTACCTATCATAGCTTTTATTAGCTTTCTGAGCCACTGGGATTACAGGCATGCAAGTATATTCATTAACAGATAGGTTAATCTGATAGGTTAACCTATCTGTTAATGAATATACTTATTCTTGCCACATTGAGGAATTGTATTATTATATATATATAAAACCTTACATATATTATGTATACATATATATATAAAACCTTACATATATTATATATGCATATATATGTATATATACATATCTAGCAATTAATGTTCCAATAGTTTATCCTACTTAGAAATGATCTAAATTATGTGAAATTACCTAAATTAAGTGAACTGGAATTCTTAAAACATTTGAGTAAGTTTTTATGAAAGTTTTTTTTTCATATTGAAAGTAGTA